GAGGCTGACTTAGCCGAAGACGCGGTGCGTTTGTGCCGGTGTCCGCCCCCAAGGAATGAGCGTTGTGATTTGTTCGATCTCTGAGACGTGGTCGATGGATTGCGCGCATGGTTTTTCTGTGCAGAGCCAGTTCGGAGATGCGATTGCGATGATGTTTGGGCCTGTGCCTGAGCTTGGGCCTGGGCTTCGGCGCGTCGTGCAGCGAGCCTGGGTCCAGGGACGTGGATGCGCGCGGACTGCTTCCGAGAAAGCGAGACAGTCCGCGCAACTGCGACTTCTGCAGTCACTGGATTCGAGGCGACCGGATTAGATCGGGGAGGGACGGTCTTTTCGAGACCACGTAGCGACGATTTCTGCATCGCGTCATGGGAATGGGGCTGCAGCGATGAAGGCAACGTCGCAGATCGTTCTTTTGACGCCCTAGGAACCGCCGACCGCAGAGCCAGGTCTTCCGTATTAGCACGCACAGGTCTCGATGGGATGACACCCGAACGTTGTTCAATGGCCGTCACAGTGCTCTTTGCCGCGTATTTCGAGAGAGGGATGAACTTGGCGTCCTTTTTCGGGACTGGGGGCGGCTTGTCGTCCGCTGGTGATGTTGTCGTCGACTTTGCTGTTCTCTTTGGGCTGGGAGGGCCTTGTGGAATTGTGGGCGAGTCGTCAATGGGGCGATCCACGCGCTTGACCGCGGCCACGCGAGGAGGTACACTCTTCGGCGCTTGCGATTGCTGGACTGATGGTGATCTCGCAACCTTCACGGTCGATGCGTTCGATCTAGGAGAGTCATCTTCCTTTATTTCAACCACGGGCGAAGGGATCAGACGGCCAACTTCTTCGTGAGTCTTGCTGCCCAGTCGAGACTGATGGTCGGACGACCATTGATACTGGACGGTAACGATTGGAGGCGGTTGATTCGATTTTTCGTCATGGTTTGCAATCGTGAGCGTAGGGACGCTGGGGATTTTCTCAGCGGCAGAGGTGGCACTGCCCGTGGGTGCTGTTAGTCTCTCCACTGCAGCAATTGCTTCGTCGAAGTAGGCCGTGTTGACCGACGTGTGCTTCGTCGTCCATGCAGAAAGGCCACCGCTAGATGCTGCCGGCGGCTCTGGTGGAATCGGGGTGTGCCGCTCAGAGACACCACTTGCGCCTGTTGCTGAAGCTTCCACGTGCCGCAAGTGGCTGGGGGGAGGTGCCCGTTTCGACCGTGTCCGAGCAAGCTCTACTTGGACCGAATCAGGTCTGGTCATGACGAAATGGCCGTCCTCTACGCCCTTGGAATCTCGAAATGACTTGATATCGAAGAAGATTTCGTCGACCGTGGTTGCGGAAGAAACAGACGATTGGAGCGAGTGAGCAGAGCTCCAAGGCGGCTCGCGATCCGTCGACGCCGTATTATCTTCAGGGCTGTTGATTGTCTGATCGTTCGGAGAAGCAATCTTGATCGGATTGAGAGGTTGTGGCTTTGGCACGGAGAAGTGGTCTTGCATAGGAGACAGGCGGGCTGGGGAAGTGGCTGATCTTCGTAATTGAGTAGGTGGCAGGTAATCATAACCTGAGTCGGGGACTCGACCGACGATCTTCACAGGGGCAGGGGAAGTGGTTGGAAAGAGCGAATATTTGCTTGCTGCCGGCGACCTCGTCATAGTTGGCGTCGTCAGTCGTCTCGGTGGCATCAGTGGTGTGGAAGGTTCTGATTCAGGACCTTTGTGGTCGTCGTGTTCACCATTACCGGTTCCCTTCGTTGTTGGCCGACTATCGTCGAAGGATTTAAGACTGTCCAGCGCCTTACTTCGTCTTGCAAGAAGTGAGGAAGAGCGCTTGGCCGCGGGAAGATTGAAAGGAATATCCAGTTCGAGCTTCGGTAGAGGCGGCCGTGTATACGGCTCTCTTACAGACCCAGAATCGGTCGCGGTCGCAGTTGACGGTCTTGAGATTGAGTCGTCTTCAGGCTTCTGAATGACTAAGTCCGTCGTCTTCGCAGTCAAGGATCTTTGATCCTTCTCGACTGGGGGTGGCGGTGCATCACGTCTGGGATGCTCTGGTTGCGTCGTTCGCAGCTTATCTCCATCAGCTTTCGTTGTCTCGGAGGCTGTGTCTTTGTCCAAAACCACGAAACCGGTCGGAAGGCCTATCGTCGGGCCTGAAGGGACCTCATCTCGTCTGATAGCGGCTTGTCGAGATCTGAATAGCGTCCCTAGCTTCCTCCATCTCTTAGAGTTCATCTGAGCGGTATTGCTTGAGGTTTCCTGATGCTGGCGGAGGACAGGACTTTGATCGAAAACGCCGGACTGTTCGGGAGGAACACAGAAGAATGCGGGAGGGTGACTAGGACTGCCAAAAGCCAGGCCTATCAAGCTGTCTTCTGACTTCGATACACCATTCACGTTCTGCAGAGGCGAGGGTCGGTGATTCTCTGATGTCAGCGGTCGGATGGAAGGGACCTCGACACGCAGTTTCCGCTTCCCGGTTGGGCCACCGGATGTCGTTGGACGGATCTGAACCAGCCTGGGCCCAACGCTGCCTGCAGCACTCTGGCCGGTCGAAGATGAATCCCCAAAGGCAAAATCAAAGTCCTGCTGCTTCGCAGTCGGTTCAGCGGTCGACGCGTTGTGAAGAAGAGGATTTCGTTTGCGAATGGATAACCACCTCGTCGGCATGTTCAAAGTTCCGGACCAGCCAGTAGGGAAAAAGAAACCGATCAAAACAGGGACAAATGAGTGACTGTAAAAGGAATGCTTGAGAGGCGGGTGACCTTGCAACTCGCCCCAGCAAAGTTTGGGACCCAGGGCACCATGAAACAGTTACAAGGTGAGCATCGTGACACGCCCGGGCGGTCTGTCGCCTGCAACTCTTACTATGATTGACGATGTCCGTTGTGTTTCCAGGCTGGGGGTTTGGTGGGTAGGTAGGAGAGAGCAAAGACGAAATCCGACGCACAAACTGCAACAAAAATTTGAACGACCAACCGCCGTGCCACTGTTTGCCCAGCAAAGACAGGGACTGGGGAATGGGCAAAGAAGCTCACCCCGACACGAGGTTGCAGAAGGGGACACAGAACAGACCGGGATAGAGCATGACTTGCATGGATGAGGTGGCATGCAGGTACAGCGATCGTTGGTGGCCGTCAATGCGACCTTTTTTCGATAGCCGAATCAGCATTGTTTCTTTCAGCCAGGTCGGCTGTGGCGCAGTGAGATTATTGACGACGGGGGTCTTTAAGAGGGCGGCACCAAGCTTGAGACCATCCCTCGAACGACTGCCGTTGCAGACCTGAGGGTGATGGAAACGCAGTGGACAGGGTCAGGGAAAAGATGGAGAGCGGAGGTTTGAGGGAGCCACTCACAGATGCAGCCGTCTAACGGGTGCTTGGAACCTATGGGCCTGGCGTGCTTCAGGTTCGCCCTAGTCTCTCGCGTGGCGCCCTGTCGCATGTCAGAAATCTTCCGACAGGTGGGATGGCTCTGTGTTAGAAAACCCCATTGATCTTTTGTCCGCGCGAGCTGTAGATATCCCCCTAAGAGACCTCGCACTGATGAAGGAGGATTGATCTTATTTCAGTCGGAAAGTACCGCGCAAAGTAGAGTCAAAGACCGACGACGTCCTCATCGGTTTTCTCACGATCCCAGAGTACTCGAAGGTTGCTGCCGGACTGTTTGGCTTGATTGCTCCCCCAAGTTCGTGCCCGGTCCTGTAATCTCGTCACTTGTGGGTTTCTTGGGCTCGGATTTCTCGGCTGCCCCTGAAACACATGGGCCTCAAAACATGTGTACCGAGTGCTACTCCGTAGCAAAGGGCCGCCACCACATGCTCCAAGCTTCGCAGAGATTGACTCCAACCGCAGTCCGCCTTCTTGATTGTGACTGGCTTCTTATTCTGGGATTACTGGGGAGGAAGGATGCCGAATGCTCCCCCACTTTGCAGGGAAAAGACGTCAACTAGAGCCGCTGTTCGCTAGATCTTTGCTGACCACCGTTCGCTGGGGATTGTTGAGGCCATGGCGTGGCCATGGCTTGTTATTGGCGCGCTTCGGGGAATTCGACGGAGGCATGTTCGGTGGTGTTCGTCGATATTGTCCCAAGGGAATCAAAATGATCTTGAAATTGTCTTCTTTCGGGAGACGCCTGGTTCTTGTCCACCTCCTCTTTGAGTCGACCCCTGCATTGTGTGTGCTGCGGTGTGGTATACAAGTGATTGTGACAGAATCTGGGAGGTGACGGGCTCGAAGCCACATTTCGCTTGTGGGTATGTCTTCAATAACAGGATTTTGAAGGGTTTGGCGTGAGAAGGAGGCGGCGATCTTGGTCGGCCTGAAGGTTGCATGTCACAATTCGACGAGCGGCCCTCGCGGCGCTGCCCTGCGTAGGTACTCGGTTGACTGGTGAGCGATGCTTTTCGAAGCATGGGAGTGGGAAGTGCGAGAGGAAGTGAGGGAGACATTGACCAGGTCATCTTTCCACCTCGCATTGCACACCTGTTCTGTGCTGAGCACCATGATCAGAATCTTGCACGAAGTGTGCGGTTTTGCGCCGCTGCTGGCTCGGAGGTCCACGATCATGCATCCACCCGATCAATGTGATTGCACAATGCTTGCGAAGACTGAATGCGCGCGGAGAAAGGTTGCAGCCCTGCAGAAAATTCAACGAAGGCCGTAAATTTCCTTTGCTGGCCCAGTTTTCATACGGCTCCCTCGCTCAAGCTCTCCGCCATGTCTCTCTAGAGTGAACTGAGGATCCTACGGCCAGGAATAAGCTTGGACTCTCACAATCTGTAGTTAATAAAGAAGTTGGCGTACTGTGAGAGGCAAGGAAAGGGACTGGAGTTATAAATCAGACTGGTGCCTTCCCGGCCCAATACAAAACACGTCGAAGCCTGAGTAGATTACTGGAGAGCATTATACATTAGATTAATATCGCTCGTGTGCGCCACTACCATCTCATCTCTTCGACTCAGCTGTTGTTGCTGGCTCTGCGCGACCACCGCATACGACCTGGCCAACCGACTCAATAGATGGTGATCTTCTGCGCCATCCCCTTTGCTATCGATAGTGCAGTGATTTCCGCTGCCGAGTAGCCTCCACCATTCACAAGCTCGGCAGACTCGTTATCCTCCACAGTGTTATTACCATCAGCGGCCCTCCCGGCTCTTTGCATGGGCCCATACATAACTGTCCCAATCCTGACAAACTCCCAAGGCTCTCTAGCCTTGAGGACTATGCCTCGCTGACCGTCGATCATGAGGGCGAAACTGGGGAAATGAGGCTTGTCGTCAAAGGTTGCGGAGCCGCGGCCATGCACTGCTGCTATCTTGGTGTCGCCGGCAACAAGGATGTCCACTTCGGTCGACATTGGGTGGAGTTTGCGATATTTTGCATCCGATTTGGCGGCTTGGAGGAGGTATAGCGGGGCCTGTATGGATCTTTATTAGGGCTCATGGACGATAGTTGGAGACAGTTCAACGTGGTCGAGCGCGAAAAGGGGGAATTCACAAAAGATGTCAGTGGCGAGACCTTACCTCCAAGGTGATCCAGCCTTTCTTGACCCTGCCGTATCGATCTTTCCCCGCAATATCAACATGTGCGCAGATACACCGAGCCCTCAGATTCTTTCTATTCAGAGGATGGAAATTCACTTTGCCGTCCAGGCTGGCCCAAGACCAAGATGGTGCGCGATATTTCGGCGGATACCTCACCTCTGACTTGGTCGGGGGAGGCATTGCCGCGTCGTGTGCAGGGTCACTACACTGATGAGTTGGTTCGAACGTCTCTATTGACCAGCAAAGGTGTTGGAGAAGATCGTTGCGCCAGAGACCAGCGAGGTAGTCGTCCCCTGTCAGAGTGCCCACAGTGTTCGCAATACCGGACAGAGCAGGCAGCTTGTCGTTGTCTCGTGTCAGGTTGCGAGAAGTGTATTCTTCAACCAGACTTAGCCAGACATTGGGCCAGGTGGTTGCATTGCTTTCTTTGTCGTCCGATCCGGATTTAGAGACAGAACCGTCAGCAACGGAATTCGAGCCTGGGATTGACTTGACAACCCTCGATAACGTTGGAAACTCTCTACGCAAAAGGGCACCATCCTCGGCCAGCACATATTGCTCACATTCCCAGTAGAGCTCCTCGGTTCCAAAGTGCAATATTCGCGGAGAAAGCAGTCGCTCCTGAAGTGTCCATCCGCGCTTGTTCAACGGCTCGTGCTTCAATGGCTGGACCGTTGCCCCAAAGCTTCCAACAACATATATCCTTGGTTTCTGTTTCAGAGATGATGGCATCCACTCCGGCGTGATGTACACTCGAGATTTCTGGGTACCACGCATGCCGAACATGTTATTGAATGTCCTGCAGACAACCCCATCACCTGTATAGTCTACCACCAGAGGCGCCGCAAGCGGTATGCATCGTCTTCCTGTGGACAGAGTATCGACGGAGATGTACGGTCTGGAGTAGGTCACTTCCAGTGGCTTCGACCCATCGCGAAAGCAACCAGAGGAGTCATCTGCTGAGCTCATAGCTGACAGTGTCAGGTAAGAAGCAAAGTAGACAATGCCCATCCTGGAAGCCTCCATTTCCCAGTCAAGCTAGCAAGTCGTAAGCGATGAAAACATGTATTGAAGGTGAGTGTACCTAGGATTGCCCAAGGCAAAGGAGAGGTGGGAAGTAGAGATCTGGATATTCTAACAGACACGAAAGAGACTTACATCGTCATCCTGTATGATGCATAGGGAATCAATCCACAGAAAGGGAACCCCAAGCTCGCGAGTAATGGTGACAGCTTGTTGGAAAGTTGCCGGTAACCCATCGAGCGAGATACCTTTGCAGTGGTCTGCAAATGTCTTCTTTGTTGTTGTAATGCGGTGCGAGAGCCCCCAGCAATGGCTGAGGGCTACGTAGTGTCCGTGTCGGCCACTGGTCTCCACGAGCCGAATAGTATCTCCTGGACCATTGACGTCGAGGACTCGAGTCGGTAATGGTGGGGACGACGGTTTGTCTGAACAGGAATGACTTCGATTGCAGTCGTGGCCGGCATTGCAATCTTTCAACCACGTCTTGATTCGCTGTAGAGCGATCGCAGAACCTTGATGATTCGTTCGAAGCCTGCCTGGGACTGTTATAGCCAGGTCGGCATCTTGGTAGGAAATTAGAACAGTATTAGTCGTCTTGTAGGGGAATATGGTACCGTCGTCTGTACGGATCCTGAGGAATGTCCCTCTCATGCGAACATCCTCGTTGCTATTGCCCTCAGCTTCTTCCACACTAGGTCCTGTGCCCAGCCTCACACCGAGACCTATCAACTGAAGCGGTCGATCTTTGAAGGGGGACTTGTACCAGCTGCCAAAGAGCCATGGTCGAATCTTGCCACTGCTCTCCTCCTCAGCTGGAAAGCGCTCGCGAGGATCCAAAAAGGCAGGTTCGCGGAGGTCAGGTTCTGGGCCGGAATTGTCAAACATGGATGCGCCATTCTCCATGGCACGTAAACTTCCTAGGGAGCTATAATTGCTTTCGGTCTCTCGTGTCATAATTCTGCGGCCTGAAGGGTATTCCACGCCAGGTCTGAATGCCACCATGCCACCAATATCCACCAAGGAGCAGCCTGCCGCCCACCAGATGAGCCTGCATATCGCGCATGACTCTTTCGAGGCCTCTAAGGCGTCGAGGCTGGCATGATGCGGTAAAGCGTCTTGCTCTTCTGATGGTAACTCTCCGAATGGGATCTGATCGCAGATTTCACAGAGCATTGTGGACAGTGCAACAGCTCGACTGTGAGAGCGGTTTGATCGCTGGCCTACATTGGAGACATAGCGGGATTCCGTCACAATGAGACTGCAAAGGACGAGACATGGTCAGACCGTCCCTAAGGCTGAGGTTGAGGCTGCGGTCACCAGGAAACGTTTCCACGGGATGTGTTCAGCCGCTCGGGCTCTTCGGTTCTAGACCGCGGATACGAGGCTGGGACAAATCGGCTGCGAGACTTTGGAAAGTGAAATTTCTCGAATGAGGACATTTTAAGCGAACACAAGCGAATCATTGACATCGAGGAGGTGGTTGAAGTGAAGAGCGAGGCAGAATCGAAACTGAGGATTCAAACATGTGGGTGCGCATTTTTCAGAAATCATTGACTGGTCAGCACCGAGAATCGACTCTTCGAAAACGCGTAATTCTAGCTTGCCATGCTGGCACAAGGCTCAAACTTGCCAAATGCTTGTTTCTCTATTGATATTTCCATCTCCATCAGACAGATCTCCCTGCAGACTCACTTTGAACCTCGATGAACTGCGACACATCGGTAGCCATCTCTGACATGTCCGACACCAAAGCCGCCAACTCCTGCTCATTATCCTCCTTTCTGAGCATCTCAAAGAAAGGATCAGTGTTGGGATTGTCTGGATCAGTCTCATGACAGCGAAGCTTGTTTGCCGAAGAGATCGGGCTGACAAGTTTCAGAAACACTTCTCTTCGCGCATCGGCCCAGCGTCGAAGTATTGATGTCGATACACCTTCACTAAGGACGAGTGCTAGGGCGTCGGCCAGGGAGTCCGCGTCAAGCAGGCCCGTGCTGAGACCCAATCCGCCCCAGGGCTGCATTCAACTCATCAGCACTTCTCTCACGGAGACGTTCCGTCGGGAGGAAGTTATAAAGAGAGAGATAGAACATGGGAGACCAACGTACATTGTTCAGATGCGCCGCATCACCGATCAGCATACATCTCCCAGAGAGCATGGATGGGACAATTCGCTGATGAGTATCGTACCTCTGCGACCGTATCACCTCATACTTGGCCGGTCGCGGGCCAGGAATCAACCTTTCCAGTTTCTGTCTCAGATTCCAGTCGAGAGCGTCTGGTTCACACTGGTCGGGAGACATGGCCACAGTGATACGATAATAGCTGGGTCCATGCTCAGCCGGCCTTTGTATGGGGCTAAACAGAGCCCAGTCAATTGGATCCACAATATACACAAACGGAGGACCGTCGTCGGGCATTGGAAGGTCGACCCAAGTGTCCGTCGCCACTAGAACCTGAGGCCAAGTGATTCCGTCAAGGGACAAGCCGAGCAGTTTGCGTACTGTAGACTTTCCTCCATCGGCCGCCACCAGATATGATCCCTCAAAGGAACGCTGGCCACCTTGCTCGTCGAGGACCGTCACATTCACATTTTCCGAATTTTCCTCCTGGCTGACACCGATTACTTTGTGACCGAAATAGATGTGGGAAAGCCCCGAGGCGGTCAGATTGGCCAGGATGATCTCCCTCAACCGATGTTGTCCGAGTATCGTCATGCCGTAACCACATTCACCCTCCTTCGAGGCGGATCCTTTGGTCAGGTCCCAGGAAGCAATCAGGGGACCCCAGCTTCGGCTGTCTGGAGACATCTGTTGAGTGGTCTTTCTCCAGGAGAGGCCCCTGAGCAGGTAGCCTTTGTCTCGAACTTCTTCCCATATTCCTGCGTGCTGAAGAGCAAACTGTGACGGGCCAAAGTATCCCAAAGCACGAGGTTTTGGATAGAGCTCGGTGTCTTGCTCAAACACCACCGTCCGGATTCCCGCTCGGGCAAGGCGCAACGCCAGAAAGAGACCCGTGGGACCCCCTCCTACAATAAGAACTGGCGTCTGCGTCGTTGAAGAGCCCATTCTTCTCGTGTCTCTCCTTCTATGTTTTTGATCACTCACAGAGCAAGAGAGAAGTTGTGGATGGACACTCGAGCGGAATCTCCAAGTTTTTCCATAACAGACGCGCCAAGTATTGAAGTATATGCGGTTTGAATGGAGCCATGGCTGGTCATATGGACGATGACCGACTGTTGTTCCTCGACTTTCGCTGGTGCCGTTGCCACTGTCACTGCCACTACTGGCGACTGCTCAGTAAAGTCAACCTTTTGCGCTCAAAGTCACCCACCACTTCCGTGCCGACTGCTCGAGAGTTCGTTCGAGACATTGTGACATCCAGAACACCAGCTGGCTGGGCTAGACGAAGCGATTGCCACCAAGCACGTGGTATGCGAGGTCAAATTCAGCCGATCTTGTTGATCTGACAGCGGGCTCACAATGCGTCACCCGCACATACTTACCGATGGTTCGAATTATGCTTCGAGGTCATGAAGAGGAGGATGGTCGGATGACAGAAGGTTTCGCAATATTTCCTGATGAATCCTTGACAAGAATCCTTTGACTAATGGGTTACCACTATCAAACAACGAAGACCTCTTCCCCGCGCACTTGCGACTTCGAGACCACAGCTTTCTTCGCTTGGATTCGGTCCCAGATTTTCGAGGCAAACAAATGGTAGACAGCTCTTAGAGAGCACATTATTGTCGCCCGTGACTGTCTCCTCCCTTTCAGCCGAGTGACAGATTTCTTCCAGGGGACTCCATCCCCTAATTCAACCACCAGCAGTCGCACCTGGCATGCCGTAAACCGTCGCGTACCACCCTCCCGGCGCCGCGCCATCGACAAAGATGGTCCGGTCCTGGATGAGCCAGACGTGATCCTCCTCCCTCCGTCGAAACACATCCTTCCACATGCCCCAGTGATCCGGGCTCGCCCGGTCCGTGACCGCCAGGTAAAACGCCTCCGAATGCGCCTCAGCCTCGCCCACAAAGGTGATGTCGATGGTCGTGATGTGGTGGCGGATGTATTTGGCTTCGTTGCCCTGCACCACCTCGACCATGCGCTTGGGGTCCACGGCGACCCCGTTGGGCAGACGGTACAGCGCATCCGGGGCAAACAGCGCGGCCATTGCGTCCCAGTCGGCGTTTTCGCGCGCGAGAGACGCGTAGCGGTGCATGACTGCCGTGATGTCGGCGCGGGCGTTACGTTGCTGCTCTCGTGTCGTCGAGTCCATCCTCTTTATCACTTTTTTTTGCCCTGGAGCTGGCGGGACAAGTGAATCTCAGACACTCGATGGTGAGGTGCGCCTTTTGATCAAGTATGGTGTATACTAGATATCACCCGATGGTATTGCTTTGTTTCTGTGCTGACGTGTCACTTGGTACAAGTGTTCTAGTACTCAAGAAAAGGGATATCAAATCATATCATGAAATCACCTCTCATGCTCGATGGCCTACATCCCACATCCCGTATCCCGCAATTATAAATTATATAAGACGAAGAAACTTACTTTCAAGGCATGCCGCATGACTGTCTGAGTTGGACCCTTTCGAATTTCTTGGGAGAGATGCCTGATACCTGTTGATTGTCTCACCGTTCTCTCCCTCCCTTGCTGGTTGTGTATTAGGCTCGGTTCGGGTGTGGTGGGATCCCCACCTTTTGCTACCTGGACGGAGGTTACGCGAGAAGGACCGTGCATACATGCATGCACGCATAGCCTCCTCGGCAGGTTAAGGAGGTTTCTGTCGAATCAATGGTGGATTGGAGTTGGAAGTGGAGATGGAGGTGTTTGGGCCTGGATGGCCATCATGGCATCCTCGATCCCAGTATGTCGTCAAATGGATAACATCACGTCTGGCCATATCGGGGAGTGTTGGCTTGACCTGGTGGTCTTCATGATTGCGATTAATGAGTGAATACACAGGGCCGAATTGTTCAAGTTTCGTGGCTCACGCATGACCCTCGCGCTCAACCCCTTGGAGGTAGCATAGGATAGGGACGAATAAAGAAGGAACGCTTCACTTTGATACCTGTCGCAGGAGAATTGTTCTGTGCTCTGCTCTGCTACCAGAAAGCCACCTCCACTGCTCCTGAACCAGAACCAGACATGGAGCCTTTTGTCCCTCGTCCCTGTATCCTGTGGGATCGAATGGTCTGCTTCTTGTCGAGATCAGGACAGATTAGGACAAATCAGATAATATAGCCTCCCCTCCTGTCTGTATCCTTTTCCAATTTTCGTAGTTACAACACTTCCAGCTATACTCAGAGAGACGTCCCACCCTCGCCCGCAGAAACTATAGAACAACGCCTGCCTCCATCTCTGGTGTGTCGGTCTCTGCCCTCTTCGGCGTCCGCCGCCGCAACCGTACCAACAGGCCTTTCTGCGTGGTGAAGAAGAAATTGTACGTCTTCCACGGCTCGTCGGTGGCGCGGTCCAGCTTGAAGTCGCGCAGGAGAGTCGGGATCAGCTTGTGCAGTTCGCTGAGGGAGATCTGATTTCTCGAAAAAAAAAAGAGACAAGTTAGTCGGTCAGCTGTTGTGTGCTCCTTTTCTGAGAAAAGATCTTGTCCCTCTTCATGAATGTTCCCACGTGGGGCGGTGTTGCGTTTGCATAAATAGAACACTGGGTAGGCAGGCGAGAGCGAGAGCGAGGCGACTTACATTCTTCCCAAGACACGTCCTCGTCCCCGCCCCGAAATGGAGCATGCAGCGATCCATCTGGGCCGTGCTGTCCACGAGCCACCGCTCCGGTCGAAACTCGTCGGCGTCCTCTCCAAACACAGACCGGTCGTAGTGCACCACCGCCGCGTTCATCCCGATGCGAGTGCCGCCCCCGGGGATCGGCGTGTCGCCTATCACCAGGCCCTGGGGAGGCACGTCGCGAGGCAGCGTCAGGCCCACGCTCGGATGGAGACGCATGGCTTCTTTGATGCTCGCGCACAGCAGCGGCAGCTTGGTCGCTTGGGAGTAGGCGATCGGGCCGGTGGTGGGGATGGTGCCGTTTGCCGTCGCCTCGTCGATCTCGGACACGACTTGGTCGTAGATTGTGGGATGTGTCATGAGGAAATACAGCGTCGCTCGCATGGCGATTGCTGTCGTGTCGGACCCTGCGAATCTTTTGGTTTGGGGCCCCCAAGAAGAAGAGTCAGTTCTCACCAATTCCAAACTGAGAATACCTGTGGTGTGGAGAGAGAGAGAGATCTCGTGCAAACTCACATGGCAGAATATGACTCCTTGGTCATATCCTTGTCCGAAAAATTGACGTCGGCGCCTTTATTCTGCTGAATGGCAAACATTTGCGCCAGCAGGTCGCGGCGCGGCCCCGGGCCTTTGTCGTCGGCGGCGGCGGCGGCGGCGTTGGGATTCTGCAAAAGCTCCTTTCGCTCCACGACGCATCTCTTGGCCGCGGCCTCGAGGGTGTTCAGGGCCTGAAAAGCCTGACGCACCTTGGGGAACAAAAATGCCGAGATGGCCACGAGTGTCCGCAGGTAGCTGGGGATGACGCTGGTGATGGTGAGAAAGGGCAGGAGCAGATCCAGAGAGGCGATCCAGTTTTCGTGGTCGTGGCCCTCGTTCATGAAGCCGAACATTTTGCCGAAGAAGAGCTCGCCGACGACGTCAAATGCGTACCTGTATCGGCCAGTCCGGTCAGTTAGAGAATGAGACTATTCCCCCCTCTTTACCACGCTTGGGTTTGAGTGTATAGTAGCTGAACAACCAGCGTACGCACATTTGAAGCCACTCCCCCAGGTCCACCACCTCGTCGGCGTCCGCGTACGCGCCCATCCTCTCCATAAACACCTCTGAGCAGTGGTCGATGTACGGCTCCGAGCGGAGGATATTGCTCAGGGAGTAGACGTGGCTGACGATCCTCCTCCGCTCGGCGTGCACCTTTTCGTCGCGCTGGCTGAAGTGGTCCGGGAAGTTCCCGATGTTTGGGTTCTGCCACATGGTGTAGAAGTCGCTCTTGGGAAGCGCCGCCTTCATGGGGTAGATGACGGGGATTGCCCTGGGGTCCGAGCATGCCACCTCGTCCGGTGCGATTCTCACAAAAGGCCCGTACGCCGCGTGCAGCCTCCGCTGCTCGTGTTCCATGTCACCCCGGAGTATGTGCCATGTGATCCAAGCCCGACTGACGCGCGCGAAGAACGGTCCAGGAATGTGTCGCAAGGGGTGGAAGTACGTCGTATAGATGATCCAGCCGGCGGAGTATACAACAAGGGCAATCGCTCCCAGAGACAGATAGCTTTGTGGTAAGAGAAACATCCTGGCGAGTCGAGAACACCACACCCACACTGTAACTTACTCTTTTAGCGGTGTTTAAGGAGGAGGAAACCTCGAAACAAAAGGAATCGAGAGAGATATTGACCCTCTCATGACAGGCGGTGAAGTTGTTTAGAGCTGTGTCTGGCTTGAATAGGGTGTTGCAGTGCCGAAGCACAGCTGCTCGCGAAAGCAGCCATGGAACTTGGTTTCTCGCTCGGCCCGAATCTGCTCTAGGGTAAATGGCTGGATGGGCAACGGGCGCCTTATTCTCCCCAGCACAACCTTCGGCCCGGGAAGGATACTTCATTTACACTTTCAAACCATGCGACACATGTCTTGAAACTCTTTTCAAGAGGTCGGAATGCGCCCAAAGAAACTCTGTAAACTTTGTAAGCTATACGGGGTACTCCTCATCCAAGAGGAAGACAATCAAGACAAGAGAATACTACTATGTAGTCTCCAGCCGGCTAAACCAGGCGAGATCCTAGGTGCTTTGTAGTGTTTATTGAGCGGGTGCTCTTCCTCGAGCAAGAATGTCATGGTATAGCCAGGCCACGGTGTGCATCTCCCCTTCTCCTGGCGGACTGACCAAGAAGGTCGAGTCTGCGCCGTCCCATCTCTATTCATGACGAAGACAGGAATCCCAAAACTTCATCTGTGATTTAGGAACCACTGCCATGGCAGAAGGCAAATCGCCCTAATCACGGTTTCGTGCCGACAAAGTCGTACTGTCTGATGGCTTGCAAGAAGCGGTACACATCCTCACATATAGGGGTACTCTGGACTCTCCCTTCTTCCAGTAGATCCAGGCACGCTTTGGAAGCGTCGTGGAATTCCGTGACGGGGATCAATGCCCCCGTGGGGTGAAGCACACAAGGGATACCCTCCCCTTGCCGTATGACCCGTCCGTGGGGTCCCGTATCCTGCTCGGGATCGTTTAGTGGTATTCGCGGGGCAGACCCGAACTCCAGCTCGTATTCCTGCTGCGCGCGGCTCGGTTGGAGTTTGAATCCGACGCTGTAAGCCCACATGATCAGGGAAACGCGAAATAACGCGACAGGCCACCAGAGCGGCCGCAGGACCGTATACCTCGGACACTGCAAGATTTCCAGGACTTGGCCTACGTGTGCCAGCGCCTTGAGGGAGGATGGCGACCGAAACCATCGTTGGAACTGTGATATCAACGGTTTGGCGCCCGCTGGTCCCTCCCGGCCGGCAAGAAGTTGGATGTCACTGAAACAGATGAGCAACTCCAGCCACACCAGATGGTAAATCAGCTTGCACGCAAGGGTCATCTCAGTCTCGCCGTCAGTCCCGAGGACTCTTTGTCTCAGAATGTACCACTTCACAAGCATGGTTTGCAGTTCTTCCTGCCGGAGGGATGCGAAACTGCTGGTTTCGACATGTGGGTCGTCTGCATAGGACTGTTCTGTACTGACGAATCGATTGCTCTGGACGAACTGGGTGACTTGAGTCTGGATCGCACACAGCAAAAGCCTCAACTGCAATGGGGTGACGTGGCAGTGCCGCTCAAGAAAATCGTGCCGAAGGAACATGCCGTAGAACGCCGCAAGGGATGGCGGGTGTAGTCTCGACATATTTCCTGGACCTTCGAGTAGACGGTAGCTCCGTACCAACGCACTCCATTCTTCTTCCGTCTCGGCGAAGAAGAGTTCATCCGCCGAGGGAATGGGGCTGCGCATATCCGAGAAGTGGATCGTTGGGGATAAACAGTGGAAGAGGCCAATTTCTTGTTCCACAACATACCAGACATATCCCATGCTAGAGGCGGCATGTCAGCGAGTGTGTGGGGTAATAAACCACCTTGTGATAGCAGGAGAAAGGGAGAAGATCTCACATACCGAGTCTTTCGCTCTCTGTTTATCCAGGCTCCCCAATTGGCGAAGATGGCCCCGTCATCAACGGGAGCAGCAGACTTGAAATAGCCTCGGCGGAGAAACGCCTGGATTTGTGTTAGATATTCATTCAAAGCAGCGGCTCAAGCGCTCACCGACCGTTGAAAAGGTGCCCCGAAACGCCTCTGCAAGCTCCGCATGTCTCTTGTTGCCACACCAAGCGCTGAACACCGTCACCAGTAGCGCGGTACTCATGGTCCAAATATCGTTAATTTGATTTTCATCCCTCGTCATTGTCTCGTTGATCATGTTGCGGATGAGGAAGGCTAGCTGGATTGCGAACGATCGGGCCTCCGGCACAGGTATAGTGACGCAGCCAAGGACCATCAGGGTGGAAAAGAAGAGGCCAATGTCGGAATACGCTTCATCTTCGCCCCAGGTGGACTCGAAGAAGGTAGTCGGATGTACCATCGGGTAGAGCAGGGCGAGATTCCGATGATATTCTGCCAGTATTGCTTGGACGGTCTGGAGAGGCGGAAATAGATGCGGAATCTTTCTGACAAGATCTTGATCAAGTGCCTTGGACACCATGACGTGTATCCGAGAAGAAACAGTGTCACGGAGTCCGTTCGCGACCACTGGGCCTAACGTTCGTTTCAAGCCCGGTCTGCCCTCGAGCGTGTTAATCTGTGCCCAACTCTTCGAATCGTGCAAGAAGTCACAAATCCGGATCACTTCAACTGTAGGTCCCTTTTTCAAAGGATGAGAATGGACCCAATCCGCATATGGATCCACAGTACTGTCCGCACTGCTTGGCCCATGTGCTCCATGGGCAGAACCTTGGCCAGGCCCTTGTCCTAGAGCCAGGTCTTCGAGAACAAAGGTCTCGGGAAACCAGAAAAGTTGCGTGAGGTTCTCGTACTCGAACGGATTGTGACAGTCGAGTGAAGTAAAGTCGTTCCAGATAGGTCCATCACTCAGACCAAATGAATTCAGGGGTTGGGTGTCTGCAGGATTTACCAGTGGCTCTGTTGACTGCTGTTGAGATGGGGGTTCTGAGTCCCCGTCTACGGGCACTTGACTGCAAGAATTGTCGCCAGACGGCCTGCTCGTGTCGACACTGTCTATGTCACCGTTAGACGTTACGAGCCTCCCTCTTCATCGCGCATCAGTTTACCTTGGCCATCTGCACATGTCATGTTTTCGTTGGTAGACTGATGAAAACGAGGAGTCAGCGGCTGCACTTGACTATCATGGCGGAATACTTACTCCCCGATCTTGCCAGGCTAAATCTTCTGGTCGGGCGTCGGCCGCCTCGATCTCCTCACGAGCGTCGGTGCTAGTGCCACGATTCTGACGAGCAAGCTCGTGGCCCGGGAGGACACATCGCCGCTTGAGGACATGTGGTCTATCCAACGTACAATGCCTTCCCCGCGCAAGACACTGACCACAAGGGAACTTCCCATCACATTTCGTCTTTGATCGGGAGCAGGCGTCGCAAGCAGCAGAAGCTCGCTTTGACCGGGTTGAAATTCCCTGGCTGGAGGTTGTTGAGGAGGAAGACGCCTTTTCCGGAAACCGGTGGATAGAGGCATGCCTCTTCAGAGCGTCACTAGCACCAACAGAATCAATTTTGAATCCTTCGAAACCAAACTTGGAGAAGTAGTGGGTCACTTACCTTCTGCTGAATGTTTGCGAGCATACATCACAGCGGAATGATCGCAGCTCCGTATCTTCCCCAGAATTCAATCAGCCTTCTCGTCACAGGAACTTGGAGCAAAGCCCTACGCTTGATCATATGTCGCTGTAAGTGCTCTCTCCTAGAGAAGCTCCGCTGACATAAGGTGCAGTGATATCCTGAGCCGGTGGATAACATGAGACTTCGCCCGCAGCAGTCTGGCGCACGGACTGGTTGGTATGGTTATGGATACCTTTCTGCTGAAAATGTGGGTGCACGTTTCGGCGAGCAATCGTCGGCTGGCCCAAGAACTCAAGCAGAGTAACAACGTGAGAAAGGATCAGTTCCAAAAGAACCGGTGGTGCCGGCTGTCCACAGCCTGGCTTGTTGGTAGCTAGGGAGGTACTTAGCTCCTTCAGTCACACTCAAGACCCTTCCCCGGTATCAAAGAACTTCCAGCTGCTGCGTTAGTCTGTAATACCAACAATCTGGCATCAAATTATTCGAGACTGCTGCCAGCGTCGGCGACTTGGCTGCCTCGCAGACATGGTCGAGGCTTAACTTCGGCTCGGTTGTGGTGGGGGTGGAACCGTTCCCCAGCCTTGACCATCTAGTGGGAAGGCATTGATTATGCAGGAAGCTTCTTTGGTCCAGGAACGTGCTTTCTGATAGGACACGAGCCCTTTCCACGTTGCGTTCCTGTAAATTATCGATAGATAGGACTTGACGTTCTGCTGTCTTCTTGGTAACCGTGCACTCGTGCTGGTCCAGTGATTCTAGACGCTGATTGAGGCTTGCAGAGAACTAGCTCCCCAGAGGTGCCGCAGCGGCCAGCCCCTAGGTTCATTCGATGGGCTGTTGGGACGCTGTTCAAGCATGGCTCTGTTTCAGGGCGGGTAGTCCCAGCAGAAGTGGCATTTTCTGTACCAGAGCTGCCCATTGTTTTTCTAGCACACCTCAACACTAGCCTTACAATACCACAACATACGAGTCGTCGAGGCTGAAGAGAATATGTGGCCGAAATCGGAAATCAAGCAAGAAGCTCCTCGGGAGTGGACCGACACGTGATGGTGCTTCCCCGCACCGGCGAATCACCGGTTGCTATCACAGACGTGGCAGCCTCGTGCGGGGAAAGGCTCCCAGTGTCAACAAGGACCGAGCCCGGAGGGACTGCAGATTCCCCAGATCCAACCACGTTACTGATTGTCCCTCTGGTGGTGAGCAGTGACAATCTAGCCATCAGGCCTTGAGAAGTTGGAAAAAAACCCCATCGAGTTGCTGAGGAGTCACACAGATATATTTGGAGCACTACGAACGAACGACAATCAAGATGGGATCCGTGCAGCGTGACTTTACGAGGCTGGTCTATCAGGTCAGCTCCCTGAGAAAAGCATGGTGGAGGACGAATGGCTGTTGTACCAGGAACTACTCCTCCTCGCTCAAGACAGGGACAACAAGGAACAACC